TAAAATGTGGTCGGCGAGCTAAGCCAAAGGTGGTGCATGCCAACAGGCTTTGGCGTTATCACGGTCCAGGACATTTCAGTTGGAACAAAGTGAACAATGAAATAAATGACGCTGCTGAAGACGTGTCACCTGAAAAAGCCACTGTTGAAGAAGAAACTCTCCCCGGTTTTGAGAAGGGAAACAGTGAAGCCCTTGATGAAGTTACTACCACTGATGTGACTGTTACCGATAATAGGACAACTCCCGATGGAGCAGATGAACCCCACGTGAAGAAGAACCCAACGAGATGGAGACCAGTAGGGAAGAAGATACGTCCTGTAAAATTAAACGACTTTGTTGAATTTTAATTTTGTGTTTGTAAATTCTGTACATGTAATTAAGTTTTTGTTAATTTTCTATTGGTTGAATGTAAGTGGCTATTGTTCTGGACGATCAATACTAAGGAAGGGGCAGTGTTACTACAGTGGTAGTCACGTGACCTTGATAACACGTCATGATATTCTCGAAGGATTGGGGAACATCACGAATAATCCAGTATGTGCTAGGCGCCCTCTATTTCTGTATATAAGTGCGTCGGTTAACGTGAGACTAATCAATCGGAATTGAATTGCAGACAGGCAGAGATAGAGACAGACAATTGAGTCAAGCGCGGTAGTAACCGTAAGTAAGTGCGTGAATCATTGTGAATTGTAGCGTGTGTTTAAAGTAACTGTGGAAATTAAGTGTATTGAGAAGAAATAAACTAGTTTTATTTAAGAAAGGAGTTGTATCGCTAAAGTTTCTTCGGAAAGAATTTTTACGGAAAATTAACAAACGAACGTCCAGAGGCCTAACAATATATACCTCAAACGTTAGGCCTATAACTTTTACGTTACTTAACACCAACTATATTCTCTTTGTTTTTATCTGTCTAATACTGTCTGTCTGCTGCTTCCCGCTGGTCTCACGCTATTTACAGTATATCTTATTTATACTTAGTCGTCTGGCCACTTTCTATATTCTCGACATCAATTAGTTATTAATAAAACCTTCTACAATCGTCTGCTTTTAACTTTTACTATAACAAAACTTAAGAATAATAAAATATTCACTCACAAATATAAATTAACCACTAATATTTAAACCAAACAGTCTTTTATAGCATGAGAGAATTATATGTCCATGTTTCAAAAATTTAGAAAAAAGAGCTGTAAGACTCGTTTACGAATATATATTGGAGTTAATTTAAGGTCATTTTCGTTTTTATTCATAGACTTGTCTACTGAAAACAACTTGCCGTGTGTCAGAAAAGTGAAATATAAAGACAGGTAATCTTCATCATATACGGATACGATTGAACTTTAATTGTGTTCATTTCACATCAATATAAGGTATATCCGTGTTGTTAGTTCTCAACCACTTGGAGGACTAATTAAGTTGGGTATCCCATCTTTCTCACATGGATTCCAACCAAATTACTTATTATTGTTAATTTTCAATGTCTTGAAAACATAAGACAGGTTGACTCTTCAAATATTAAACATTGCTCTCTTTGTGTGTTTCTTCAAACTATTTCTCGCAGCCTTATGCATATTAGTATCGTGTAATCAACCATTATGCGTTACTGAAATGTTCTTGTGACATTTTAAAACGCGAAAGTCATATATTTTTTTTTGTTTTTTGTCGCCATATTCATGCTATTTTAGTTGTGATTGTTCCAATAATCTTAAATTGTCTGTATGATAATGATATGCAATTTAAATTCCTTACGTTAGGCTTACTTAAAAAGCCAAATTGTTTAAAATAGTGTGCCACAAATGTTAGTTATTTAAAAAAAGTCGTATAGTTAAAGATAGTGTGCCTTAAATGTATACTGTCCGGAGAGGCATTTCATAAAGCAGACACATTATATTACACTGTTTTCCAAAATCCATTTTTTGTAGATCTTTTCATAAACTATCTATAAATGTGAAGTTATACCGCTTTCTTAGCGTTTTTTGAAATACAAACGTTGGTTACTGCCATTAATTTTATATTAATATAATTATGGTAACCTGTTTCGTTTCAGGTTTGTGAAAACGAAAAATGCCAACAAGACGTTTTTCCGTTGGCCGTTAACTGCTTGGACAGGTTTCTTTCTGTTGTAAAAATTCGAAAAAGTCAGCTACAACTCGTCGGTGCTGTTTGTCTGTTTCTGGCGTCGAAAGTACGGCAAACAAGAGCCATCTCAGCAGAAAAACTCTGTGCCTACACAGACAACTCGGTCACTTTGGAAGAGCTTCTGGTTAGTAGTGGGTGAGAGATCGTTTCTTCTGTACTAAGTTTTAAATCAAAGGTTGCGATCTATGTGGAAGTATCTCTTAGCATAATAAATCAGTCAGTGCAACTAGCCCCGGCGTTAAGGGTAGGCCAAGTAGGCAGCTGCCTAGAATGCCAAATATTGAGAGCTATCGTGTGAGTAGGGACACAACCTTACTTTCTACCTAGGGCCCCAGTTATTAAAGTACCGCCAGCTCTGCTTGCAACTATGATAATAACGTCTCGATATGATAAGTTGTATCCGTTTGATATGTAAACTTCCAGATAATTAATTTGGAATTTTAAAGTTGTTGTACATTTGAAACAAAGAAAAGGGTCATGTGTAACTTTTTTCTGTACATACCAAATGCAAAAATATAGTTGAAAATAAAATCCAAACGTCCATATCATATTTGCATTTTTGTATATGAAACTGAATATATATTTGTCTTAAGTCTAACTACCCCTCATGTTTTTCAAACAACACGGAACTTATGGTAAATAAGCGTCAACAACCTTAGAATATGTATTACACGAAACTTCCGCCGTAAATTAGCAGAGTAATTATTTTATATGTATTGGAAGAAACACCTAAAACATTTGTGGTCAAATTATATCTCTATTGTAACAGCACTTCTTGAAATAAGGGATTCCTAGGATAATGCAAAAAAAAAAAAAAAAATCCAATCGCAGACACAGAAATCCACATGTTTTAGGCCTAACATTAGTTCAGCCTTTATTAAGTACGGCCAATATCCGACAGAGATAATTCAACACTGTAACTTGTGTATGTTTTTAGTTTAGTTAGGGCTAGACTTTACAATACTTAATATTATCAATAAATAAGCTTATGCTATTCTATGACCTAACGTTAGACCTTTTTAAAAACTTTGATAAGCTTATGTTGTACAAAATGTTTACTAAAGTATATTTATATCCGCCTTTTCTTTACATCCATTGAAATGAAGTGCGCGCGTGCATGCGCATTTAGATAGTAAGGTAGGCTCTCATTTTCAGGACAGACAAAAACTGAGTATTATTATATTATGTGTTCTGCTTAAACTACATGCTTCTTTTTTCAAGTTTCACCGAGGAGATTCTTTTGTCATTGAGTTCTTTTTTTCTGCTTGAATGAGAATCTGCATTGTTTAATAAGATAGTGATTGTGATCTGGCTGGACCCTCCAACAATATTTGCCAGTGAAAGTTCTTAGTAAGAACGACAAGACCAAGAACTCAATTGATAAAGGGTTGATAGAGCACTTCCTTTGTCATCCACTGTTTCCCCTTGTTGAATCTCATTTCTTTGTAAGCACGACCGTTAATTTTTTTCGCTTATTCGGCTCATCGTGTTCCATAAATAAGCTTTCTGGATTGTAACATGAATATTGATATTAAAGTGTGAATAAGTTGACCATGAGAACTTGATCTTGTAGCGACAAAATTTGAAGTGAATGTGGGCGTACATTAAGATTCTCATTACTCTACGTTGTTAGTAGGACACAAACGTGCTTTGTTTGAGACTATATTCTCGAAGAAGGCTGACTGAAAACAGTGCATAGTTGTTAGTGGTTGTTATTCAAATAAAGCTGTACAAGATAGTTATCTTAAAGGCATCACCCGATAAACATATTTATGATTTTTTTTATTAAAATCTTGCCTGCTTAAAATTTCTAGGTGTTTGATATCAGTGGTTTAGTTGTTCCGTGACTGTCGAAGCAGTCAGTTGCAAACAACTCAGATTTAGACTTTCTTGTTCCCCTTTCCCAAATGTACACATGTAAACACCTTCTAAATTTAATGTGACCTAGCTCTCCTAGCTCTCTCTCTTTCTGTTTCATGTTTTCGAACATCGTTAATGAGAAATCGTGGAAAAAAAGAATTACATTGGAAACTTATCCCTCACCTTGTGAATATGACCTAGAGATTATACTGAACACTAACTAAGCTTCCAAAAAGTGAGCCTCCAACTCAAAGATAGTTAAATTGTAGTGCAAAACAAATACTAACACAGAGACAACTCAAGTAGCCGTTTTTTGGGTAAAGATCTTACTCCACATACCAATAAGACATGTTTTTCACCAAGATATTGATATCATGCTGTGGAGAAACGATTTATGTCGTAGGCAGAAATATTTTATGATAAGTGAGATAAGAATCGTTATTGTTCGACGAATATTATAACTCCACACAAAAATAGTGTAATCTTGTTATGTTTCATGTATATGCTTCTCGTTATGTGCATCTGGCTGAAAATAGATAAACTTCGGCCAAAGTAACCTGACAAAGTGTAATTTTTTAAGCCTTGTGAGATTTAGCACTTTGAAGGACGTCATCTTTATGTGAGTCTTATTATGTAAAACAAAGCTTACGCCTGTTAAGTAAAATATTATTGAAATAGAAAAATATATCCTCCGTGTTTTCCCCATTTCAACTTTCTACTCTCTGACGCAAGTATTGGTTAATGTACAGGTAGAATTACTGTTTAGAATTAATCTCTTAAATTCTTTAGTCTAATGATTATTCATATTTATTGATAAAAGAACATATTTGAGAGATTCGAGGTCGAAAAACAAAGAAAACCTTTTGTGGGCCTCAGTGACATTTAGTATAAAGTCAGACGTTCAAGGTCATGAAAAGCCTGTGTTCATATGTTTCAGAACACGCGTCATGTACACCAGTATCCCTTCAAAAAATCACGCACGAGTCCAACTTTTGCTGACGTCACCGCAGACTAACAGTCTCCTCTTGTTCCGTCGAGTGATAATGAATTTTTCGGCGTTTTCTCTATCAACTCGTAGTTCGTGCTCTCTGCCTTAAGCTTCCGCTAGCATAATAGTGTTCTAGTCCCTTGTTAATTTTTTTGTTAGCTCCTTGTCTTGGGTTTTATAGTTATTCAGGATTCACTGTGATCGCCTCTTTTTGTCATCTTCTCGCTGTTGCTTCTATCATTTACTAGCCCACTTCATTATCAATCGGCTCTCACCCACTGGTTAACATATTATCCCCACTTACTGATAATGTCATTTCCCCTCTTTTCTGATATTCTTGTTTATTTTCTTCTTTACTGCTTTCCCTGTTGACTGTCCTAGGCCGTAGGTACATCCTAACAGTACATGCCAGCGTGTTGTGTTAGGTAACAGGCATATTCCTATAACGGTTATAAAAAAAAAAATATTAGTTCATTATATAACTCTTTACAATAACTTGATTAGACTGTATTATATGTAATTCTATGTTACGTTTCGGTTTCCTTATTTTAGAAAGACTTAGATCTTATGAACAGAATACAGAGGACTGTGAAAAGAGAGGCTTAAACAGTTGAATTGTTTTACTTGCTGAAGAATGGTACTCGGATTATTTCAGTTGGATTTTCAAAAATTGTTAGGGACTTTGGAAACGTAGACCAAACGTATGGGGGGAATTATTTCACAATGGTTTTCATATATTGTTAATATTGTTGCGTATCTGCTTCTTTGTTAATTTCCCTTAGAAATTCTTTCCGAAAAACTTCAGCGATACAAGTCCTTTCATAATTAAAACTAGTTTATTCTTTCTCGTTACAACTTTGTAATACACTTAATTTCCACAGTCACTTTAAACTTAACTACTTTGATAAACACACTACTTTGATAAAC